AAATAAAAGTTCCCTATATAAAAAACAAAGCAAAAGAATAAAAGGAAAGGAACAAAAGAACTAGAAAAAAATACCAAAAGAAAAAGGACACAACAACAAGAGAACTCTTTTTTGGACTTAAATTTTAGTGCAGTTTGCATTTTCCAGCAAATGTTTTGGTTTGGCTAAGCTGTTTGGTCTTGTTTTGTTAGTTTTATTTTGGTTTTCTTCATCCATTCTAACACTTATTTTTTAGGAATTCAATTTGAGTACTTACCTAATTGATTGCCTTAATTTTTTCTTGTCATTCTTAACTTGTTTGAAGTATTGTCTCATCTTACTCCATTTGAGTTTAGCTTTCCAAATTGGTGCTTTTGTTACTTTACTTCATTCTTTGGTGCTTGAAATCATATTTGGTTGGTGCTTTCTTTTGGGAGTGATGTCATATCCCCTACCATGGCCAAGCACTTTAAGGAGAGTTAGAGTCAACTATGCAAGATGAAGCAAAATTCTTTCTCTTAGGCCATCATGGAACACCTATAGTAGATTACGAGTATTTAACCTTGTATTAAGGGACAAGTAGTGTAAGTTTTTTTAAGGCCAAGTAATTTAGCCAAGTAGTGTAGGTTTTTCCTTAAGCTAGTCATCCAAACCATATGGAAAGTATGTGTCATGTGTCACACTTCCGTTTGAGATGATTTAGCTTATAGTAACTGGCCACATGACACTCTAGGAATGGAGAGAATTACTAAAAGTTAATGGCCATATTTCCTTCCCTCATTGGAGAGGATTGTGGACATTTTCCACTCCTTAGTGGGCCACTTGGATAGGCAATGCAAAATTTTGGTTTTTAGGATTTTAAGGAGACACCCTTAGCCTATAAATATAGGTGTATCCTCTCATTTATTCATCTTTGGTTTAGAGTAATGTTATGTTGACCATTTATGGTCATACTACTCTCCTTAAGATCAAGACTAGAGCAACTCATAGGACCCCTCTACTCACCTTCCTCTTTGAGTTGGCCTAATAATGGAAACCCATCATGGGAATTCCATTCAAAGAAGTACAAACTTAAGATAAGGCTAAGAAAGGGAAGTTGGAAAAGGACTTTTAGAAGCTCTTTCTTGATTTTCTTTCACTAAGTCTTAGAAAAATTCTTTTTAATATGTTTATATGTGTTTTGTAGGGTCCAATAAAGGTAGGAGATCATGGATGAACCATAAAAGAAGCTTGGAAAGCCAAGGGAAGAAAAGAAGCCAAAATAAGGAAGAAAAAGAGGGCTTTCCAAATTTTGAAGCTTGGCTTCAGGATTAGAAGTGTGAAGGAATTTGCCTTCAGGAATGAAGAAGTTGCCTAACCAAAAACATGACAAGCCAAGACACTACGAGAAGTGTTTTTCACATGTGTGGTTTCTGACCTGGTTTGAAGCAGAGGTTGAGTGATCTGTGTAGTTGGCGCCTCTTACTTATTTTAATTTGAATTTGGGAGGGAATTTAAGTCAGAAGGATGGCTCATCTTTACCTATAAATAAGAGAGTCATCTCTTTGTATTTTCTCACCTTTGAAGTATAATGAAATGTTGTTGAAATTATTTCAAGCTTCTTATACTCTTGGGTCAGACCTTGTGTCACTATTCTCTCACTCTCCTCTAGCTTCCTTACCTGGTAGGAAGGCCTTCTAAGCTTAGAGGCTCCATACAATCACCATTTCTTCATTCACACTTTCATCAAACACCTTCAATACGCCAACTTCCATTGCTTCTTTTTTCATTATGTTGCACTTTATGATTCAAGGAATTATTCCTAGCATGATGCATGGACATGCTTCCATCACCTAAGCTCTCTTAGATCCATCAAATGCCATACCACTACCACACAAACACCATAGGTCGTGAACCTTTCTCCACTGCCTCCATAGCTTACGTAAATACCTTGTTTCTTGCACACCATTTCTGCATTTTCCACCCAAAGGACCAAACCTCCCAAGATAGAAATTCTTAGAACATCACTAAACTCCAACTCCATCACCATAAAACATCACAAAAACGTGAGCTTAGCTCTCATTTCCATTAACTTCTAAAACACTCACCCTTCCCCCTTCACCATGGCTTTCTCTTCTATCTATGGCCCAACCTAGCTAAGGAGATTTTCATCAGGGAGTTTGACTAACTTTGAAGGTAGTATCTTGAAGGCTTGAAAGAAGGCTAATAGAAGCATTTCATTAAACTTTGGAAGAAGGAGTCATATATGGATTTGGAGTGAAGATCAAAAGAGGATAAACACTTGAAGAAACCAAGATTTTGGGGTTGTTTTTGCAATTTTATTTTCTGTTTTGTATCACAGAACCTTTGTGTTCTTGTAATTCTTTTGGTTTCATTTGCTACTTACTTGGTGTCTTGGAAAAATGTCTTTGGTACAATCTCATCTTCATTGCTAAAATTGTGTAACAATTTATTTTCCACTCTTAGAAATCAAGGTGTGTCAAGGGGCTTCTAAGTGTCACTTGCATCTTCACTAAGGGCCATTAGTCTTTACTTTCTTTCATAGCATTTACATTCCTTTTACTTTCCTTTTATACGTTGTCTTGTTTTTCTTTTAAGTGTCTATGATATCTAGGTTGTTTGAATGCATCTTAGATAAACCTTTCTTAGGTTTTAGGAGTATTCTTTGCATTTGCATTTGAAAACGTTTTGGAAGGTTTTTACTTAAAAGCTTAGGTAAAGGTAATATAAGAAAACTTTTGGCTAGGAAGAACTTAGTTTTTAAGCTTGTACATTGTGACTCACCTCTCCTTCTTGGGAGTAACTTGGAATATTCTTGCTAAAGTTGTTTTCCACATGGCAAGCTCTTAGTGGAGAGTTTTCTTACAAAGGTAGTGATCATGTGTCATTTTTCAAGTGGAGAAAAACGTTTGCTAAAGTGACTTTCTACATGACACTCTAGGAGTGGAGAGTTTACTAAAAGTTAAAGTGTCACATGTCAAGCTTTCCTTCACCATGATAAGATTTTTAAGGTTTGGTACAAGATAACATTTTAGGATTTTTGGATCTACTTTTAAGACACATTCATCTATAAATAAAGTTGTCTCCTTCCTAGTAAAACCACTTTGAGATTTGTATTGAAATGTTGTTAAATTATTGAGCCATTAACTTATTTATAAGTCATGGCTAGAACATCCCATGAGGTCCCTCTAACCACCCATTGGCTCAATCTCTCTAAGAACACCATCAATCATCTTTATTCTATCACTTAGGTTGTGTTCACTTGGAAGGTTGAATTTGAGGGAGAGGAAGTGGATGTATTTGAAAGGATTTGAGAGTAAATGTAATGTTGTTTTTTTAAAGGATTTGTAAGCGATTGAGAGTGGATTTGAAGGTAAAGTTTGTGAAAATTAGTGTAGGATTTGATAGATGTGATGGATTACAAAAATGTTTTAATTGATAGAAAATGAAGATTACCAAAATGTCCTTAGTGATAAAAGTAATATAAAATGACATTTATTAATAAATGATAAAAGTAATATAAAATTATATTTATGATGAATATATTTTTTGGTAAAAATTATTTGAAATAGTAAAATTTTAAAAAAATTAATATACAATACATTTTTTTAGGATACATTTTAAAAAATAATAGAAAAATAAAATGTTATATTTTTATCCTTAGTTATAAAAATAATTTAAAATAAAATATAATTAGTGTTAATTATATTAAATTAATTGTGAGTTATTATTATTATTATTACTATTATTATTAAATTTAAGGTTTAATCAATTAAAAAATTAAACCCAAAGTGAACTCTTTTCTCATAAAAGTAAAAATTTATTAATGCAAAATCAATTCTACCACCAATGACAGCCTCACATGCTACAGGGGTTGCACCACCATATCTTCAATTCCATGCATGCTTTATTTCAAAAATACATAAAGGACATTTAAGTAAAACTACATGAATCTCTTCAAATCTCTGTGAGGATTATTTTTTCTTGTAATTCGCAAATCCATTCCCTGATCATTGCAAATCTTATAAAGCAAAGACAATATATTCTTTTATCCATTTGTGTAATTCTTCAGTAAATTATGTTCAAGTGAACAGAACACTAAACTTTAAAACTGAGAACAATCACTACCATCTATATAACTTCTATGCCACTTGTATCTCCATAACTTTATCTTCTTGTTTTAGCCTAACTTAATTTGAGGAGGAGACTATCAAACAATAATAAAAAATCTTCTTCTTGCAAAAGCACAACAATGTTAGCATAACAGTGACAACGTTACATTCTTTAAAATTTCGTAAGTACTATTATTGTCTTTTTCCTTCTCGCATACGGTTATAAAGGATTGAAAATGCCTTAGAAATCTAAAAAACCAATTCAGAAACATGTGAATGGATACGATGTTAAAGAACAAGAAAGGAAAATGATGACGGTTCAAAAATTAATCATTATAGTGATACTAAAAAGAAAAAGGGAAAAAAGAAATTATTATTAAATAAGTGGTTTTTTTTTCTTCCTGTAAGGTACCGACTAGTTAGCTACTGTGGGTTTGTCCTTGGACCTTAATTATTAGTCACTAGCAAACAAGAATTCACCGTAACTTTAATGGCATTATACTATGAAAAAGATTCTTGTGCAGGAAGCAAATTGAAATGTTAAACAAATTTTGTATTTACTTGCACCAAATCAAGAGATTAAGTTGTCATTGCGTCTCGTTTTCAAGTTAAGCCTTCTTCTGTGGCGAAATGTTATAGTTCAACTTGGCGGCTAGATGGATGCATTAAGGTCTACGGAGTAAACGCCTGAAATCAATGTTCGAACAGAACCCTTATCTTCATCAATATATTAATGCATGTTGGTTCCTTTATAAAATACAAATTGACGAAGACATTTCACCAGAAGAAACTGACGTTGAGAGAAAGGAAGTAGGGAAGGGGCGAGGAAAAAAGAAAACAAAATTGTTGTAACCAAAAAGAGAGTCGGAAAAGACATCACAGCTTTACATTAATTCTCTGCTTTTAAAATTGCCCAAACAAACAAATTTCTATTACAAGGTACACATCTTCTCATGCAAAGATAGTACAAATTTTATTCGACCACTTACAGAAATTACATTTGAGTGACACCAAAGAAGCAATAGTCAAGAAGCCCAATTCAACCACGGTGCTTATTAATGGGCATACAGAATACAAAAACAACAGCTAATAGGAAAGAGAAATATACAAAAGACAAGCACGTTCATTAATTAGTATCATGAACTCCAACAAATAGTTCAGCACAAGTATGAGATATCTCATCCATCATAATCTCAAACGATGCGGTTTAAGAGCTTTGTAAGTCACCGGTGCAGAGGTTGGAACATTGGTTTCGGAACTGGGTTTTCCCCAGTGCGATTTACACGGCACTGTATAGAAAGAACTCGGATTCGGACACGTCTTCTTCGTCTTGTAAAAGTAATAGCATTCGGTGGGTGATCTTTGGTTTGGCAGCCCATGGATGCAATTATTTGAGACATCCAAAACCTTGGACTTGATCAAACTCCAGCAGGAGGGGCCAAGCTCGTTGAAGTAATTGTTGGCCAAGGAGAGATTCCCATTGTTGCGGAGAGAAGGAATTTGACAAAGGTTGTCGGGAACACAGCCGTAGAATTTGTTGTTCGCCAAATTCAGATACTGAATGCTCTTCAAGCACCCGAAAGAGAGAGGGATTGGGCCGGTTAGAGAATTCTTACTCACATCAAAGACGATAGCTTTTTTAAGGTTTCCGATTTCAATGGGCAAGCAGCCGTCGAAATGGTTCCCGAGGAAGAGAACTTCGGTGAGGTTGGGTGCGTAACCGACGCTCTTGGGAATCGGGCCGGTGAGGTTGTTGTTGGCGAAAGTGAGGTAGCGGGCCGGCGTGGAGCCGAAATTCTGGGGGAGGTACTGTGTGAAATGGTTGTTGTTGATGAAGATGACGTCGAGATCCTTCTGGAAGAGTTGGAAGGGAATCGGGCCGGTGAGTTCGTTGAAGCGGAGGTCGAGGAAAACCAGTTGGTTTGACTTAATGGCGTCGAGGGGAAACTGGCCTTTGACTTTGTTGTTACTGAGGTCGAGCTCGAAGAAGTAAGGGAAATTGATGACATCGCTGGGGACAGAGCCGGCGAAGCCGTTGGAATTTACGTGGAAGAATGTGAGCTCGGGTATTTGGTTCT